CCTGTTATTATTTGGTAAAAAGGTACATATTCAAGATTAGGAGAAGTTATTCAATTTAAAACTTGAATTTTATCTTCCTTCTACTTCTTTTCATCTTTTACATAGAACATTCTATCTATAAACAGAGGATTAAATGGGAAACTACAATTACTAAGAATCTGCTATATGTCAGGCATTGTGCTAGCTGCTTTCCATATATTTCTCATTTAATCAACCACCTGTGAGGTTTATTTCTTTATCCCCATCTTGCAGAAGAGGAAATTTAGAGTATGAGAGATTAAATAAACCGCTAGTTACGTGGATTAAGTGAGTAATCAGGTAGATAGGTTAAGTTAGATAGATAGGCAAACTGCTAGATTAAGTAAACTATTAGTTTCAAATCCCAATTCCACCATTTACTAGTTGTGTGACCCTTGGGGAAACTTATTTAACTTCTCAGAGTCCCAACAGCATCGCAGATAAAACGAGGGAAACATGATCTTCCTCACCAGGCACTGAGGACCTGCGATGAACTCAGGTGCAGACAGCACTTAATACAACGGCTGGCCCTCAGTCAGGGTTCGAAACTGTCCCCTCACCTCTCCGTTCCCTTCTAGCCTTGACTTTTTTTGTTCGTTAGTTTTTTTAAAATTTTTATGAAGAAGCCTGTTGGCTCAGATGCCTGAAAAGGCCTCTGCTACTTTAAACCACTTTAATAGATGTCCAGGAACACTGTTCATTGGTGCTCACAGCCAGTAGCTCTTCCTTTATCCTGAGGGTTCAGGAAAAAGGAATTCTCATCAGCCTTTGGCTTCTTTCCAGCTCCAAAGAGGCTGTGCTGTGAGCTGCCAAGGGAAAGCAGCCCCTGTGAGTCATGCTTTCAGCTTCCAGCTAGTGGCAAACAGAACAGGAAGTAGCCACATCACTACTGCCAGCAACCACAGTGAACCTCCTCCACTGTTAGGCTTTCCCAGACAACATCAGTGGTCAGTGAGCCAAGCACGTGGCTGCCTGGCTGCCAGAGAGCCCTGTGAGCCTCAGCTGCCCCATCAAGTTTAGCTTGTCAAGTTCCTTCCAACTGGCATGGCAAGGATCACCCCTCCCGAGAAGAGGAAACGCCTTTTTTGGGAATGAGTTCTCTGATGATGATAAAACCATATCATGACTTTGTTGCAGGTAGTGAGTATTAGTGACTCTAGCAGCAGTCATGAATAGTTTTGGTTTATAGTTTTTTTTTGCTGTGGGCATTGACCCTTGAGGGCAAGGACGGGCATTTATCACAATGTTATGATTCACTCTCTTAGACTACCGTTGCATTTCATCTTTGAGTTCTAGGCCTAAGGCCAAAGGATGTCAGAATTGTCACCCAGAGTCAGAAGCATGATCTATCCACCCTGGTTATCTGTCTTGGACAGTGGGCACAAAACACAAAGGAAAATGATTATTATTGATAGTAGTCAACCTCCTTGTCCCCCTTTTAATAATCCATGGGGCACGCAGACATGAATCTAAACCTTTTTTTCTAACCTAACTTTTTTCTTACTAGTATTCTTACATATTTCGGAATAATGATTTCCCTAGTTATTGTAACCACCTTGGGAAACACTAATTGCATTTATTGGTCCTAAACTGATTTCTAAGTCTAGGACCTGGGAATTTAGTGCATAAATCTCCTTTCATCCTACTCATGTTGTTCACAACAGTATGCATTCTGCCCACATTTCTTCTTATAGCCTTGGTCTTGTCAAAAGTTCAGGAGGGGCCGGCCCGGTGGCGCAAGCGGTTAAGTGCGCGCGCTCCGCTGTGGCGGCCCGGGGTTCGCCGGTTCGGATCCCGGGAGTGCCCTGACACACTGCTTCTTGAGCCATGCTGTGGCGGCGTCCTATATAAAGTAGAGGAAGATGGGCACGGATGTTAGCTCAGGGCCAGTCTTCCTCATAAAAAAGAGGAGGATTGGCATCAGATGTTAGCTCAGGGCCGATCTTCCTCACAAAAAAATAAAGTATAGGAAAAAACACCAGAAGTAAAACCAATGAATCACTGAAGTAGTAATTAGTAAAAGTTTCTTGTGCAGACACAAAAAAGAGAGTTTGTAAACCAAGAGCACTCAAACCAAAACATGGAATGAGGCTCAGAGGCATGTTGTTATGAACCAGCTTATACAGCGTGGAGGCAGGGAGTGTTTCTTCTTCACAGTGACTGGTTACAATTTTAGAATTTTCTTAAATGAAAAGGAATTGGTTAGTGGTTACCTCATATCAATTTAGGGGAATACTTTAAGTTTCCTTTATGATTTTCAGAGGCATAAGCAAGAAATGATCCAGGTCAAGTTAGCCTCACTTGTCTTGCAAAATAAGCTAAATTCAGCTTCGCCTGTACGACTAAACTGGTTTTGTCTGCTCAGGGCATTTTCAGGTCTGTTCTCTTTCTGTTTGATTTTAACAGTCTTTAGAAGCAGGAGTCTGACCCGCCTCTGTTTGCCAAACTGAGGAAGTCTGGCAGCCTCTGTTCTTACCCTGCCTCCTCCCCCACCTTGACTATTAACATACATGATGTTGCGGGAAGCCCTTCATTGAATATACAAACAAAGCAACAGTAAGGGAAAAAAAAAACACCAAAAGCACAGAAGGACAATTGTAACATGTACTTATGCTTGCTTAACAGTACCTATACTCTTGGATATTGGCCTAGACACAGAGGGAGCTAGCATCTTGCCAGGACAGGCTTGGAGTCTGAATTAAATAAACAGCATAGCAGAAGAAGGAAGAAACCAAAAGTCTGGTGGTCAGACCTTCTTGGATTCTACTCAACATTTTCCAACCGTTTAGGCCTCTGATTTTATCCCCACCCCTGCTCCTGCATTATCTATTTTTACCTGTAAAACAGGAGTAAATAATAAACGTAGCTTATGGAAACCTTTGGTCTTAAATACTTTGAGGTCTTCCCTAAGGAAAGGCGCCTTATGTTTAATGACAACATTCCTGTTTTTTTATAACAAATAAAACAATAGCACTCATTTTTATTGTTCACAATTATTGAAATAATTTACTCTAATTTGGAATCTTATATAAGAGAACCTCCACATACTTACAGCTCTCATGGCATCTTTATAAAGTGTGCAGGTCATAAATATGTTGTCTAATATGGGTAAAGTAAGTCACAGAGATATGAAGTGAATTCAAATCACATCACGAGTCAAGGTCAATGGTATGAGTTCAGGGGCTAGATCTGGGCTCTGGTGCACTTGACACAGCCCTCACCTTCAAAGATGCCATTCTCTGAAGCCCAGGGTACACAGAAAAGGGTAGGGTGATGCTCAGCTAAACTCTTTTTTTTATGTCACTTAATGATTCCACAGACTTCATGGATGTCAAGTCAGATGAACTTTAATTACGTTTACCCATTTTAAAAAATTGCTATTTTTTAAATGGCTAATCAAGACTAATGAAATTGTAAACTGTTTCCTAACTCTGGAAAACATGGTGGTGGAATTCCTCCAAATTGATGAAGAATGTAGCTTTCTGTCTCTAAAAAAAGTCTGCTGGAAATTCTAGTTCCTACAGTATTTCTGCCTCCAGGAAGACTTGCTTTCTGCCTGATCTTTAATGGTCAGAGGAGTCCCTGTGCGGTCCTATATTCAAACACATTAGGAATTGATGATGGATCCAAACTGTTGCTGAAGTGCATTTGAGCCCATGGTCTACTGGCCTCTGATTTCAGAGCCAGATATTTAATTTTCAGTGAGATGGGGAAACAGGACCCCTTCTGGGATTGCTATGCAATCATATATATTCACAGTTCATTATATTTAGGTTTTTAAATATAATGTTACTTTATAATTATATAGTGCTTGGCAATTTTCAAGTTTTCATTTGATGCTCAAAATAGTTTCAGGAGGTACCTGTTGTTATCCCTGTTTTTACAGATGAGAAACTGAGGTTTAGAGAGGTCACGTTGCTTAAATCCAGGTCTGCCCTATTCCAAAGCTTATGCTCTTGTTTTTTAACTTTTATTTATTTCTTTTTTTTAAACTTTTATTTATTTATTTTTTCTCCCAAAGCCCCAGTAGATAGTTGTATGTCATAGCTGCACATCCTTCTAGTTGCTGTATGTGGGATGCGGTCTCAGCATGGCCGGAGAAGCAGTGCGTCGGTGCGTGCCCAGGATCTGAACCCGGGCCGCCAGCAGCGGAGCGCGCGCACTTAACCGCTAAGCCACGGGGCCGGCCCTTTAACTTTTATTTAGAAATAATTATAGATTCACATGAGATTGCAAAGAAACATACAGAGAAGTCCCATGTACCCTTCCTCCAATGTTAACATCTTACACAACTAGAGTATATGAAAACCAAGAAAATGACATTGGCACAATCCACAGAGCTCATTCAGAATTCACCAATTATACCTGCACTTATGTGTGTGTTTCTGTGTGTGTGTGTAGCTCTATGCAATTTTGTCATGTTCTTTATTTATATAAACTATACACTGCTCCACCAATTTTAAATATGAAGTCAGATTACAGGAACGAATAAAATGACTTTTCCTTCAATAAAACAATATCTACCAATAACTATTTACATGACCAAATAGTTTTTCATTTCTAGCTGCAATTAAGAAGATAGAGGGGCCAGCCCCGTGGCTTGGCAGTTGGGTGTGCACGCTCCGCTACTGGCGGCCCAGGTTCAGATTCCAGGCGCACACCGACGCACCGCTTCTCCGGCCATGCTGAGGCAGTGTCCCACATACAACAACTAGAAGGATGTGCAACTATGACATACAACTATCTACTGGGGCTTTGGGGAGAAAAAGGGAAAAAAAAAAAAAGAAGAAGAAGAAAGAAAATGAAGAAACCCTACAAACCTCAGCTCTTGAGAGCACCAGTCTGTGCTACATGCCTTTATGGGCACATCGTGGTGGAGGTGATGATAGGTATGAAATAGAGGAACTTGATTTATCAATAATTATGGCAGCCATATTCTCTCATGTCAGAAATTTCTACCTGTAAAGGAAAGGTGATCTTACCTTGACTTCAGATTTAGTCTTGTCATTTTCCTTTTCCAGGGAGTTCAAATCTGTCTCTGCATAAGGTTCCTCAGATGTTTTCTGAAGAGGAGCTAGAGGGACAAAGAAAACCTGCCATTAATTTAGCGATTTGGTTTATAAATAACTCAGAGCACTTAGCCTCACTTGGACAAGCAGCTAGACTGTGTTGGGGCAGTTGGTTAACAAAGCTAGATAGAGCTGCTACAGTAACTTCCGAGGTGACAGATGAAATGGGAGGTGAAGGAGAGATGCAGAAATGAAGTAAGAGTCCTTGACACCAGGCACTTAGATTTGGTCTGAAGAAACGAAAGTCACGCCCAATACCACATAAAACGTCAAACTATAATTCTGTAAATGTAATGTGGCAAAAACGATAGAGTTTCCATTATTTCCATTCTTAAGACCCAGCTAAAAGTTCACTTTCTTCATGAAGTCTTCCTTGATTTTCAAATTTCATGGATTCTTTCATGCACAGCTGCTCTAGCATTTAGCATTTGTGCTATATAATATTGTGCTTGATGTTGTTCTTGGATGAAAAGACCAGATTCAGTTCTAGGTACCACATTCCATTGAATATATTTTTCCATTATACAGGTAATTAATTTGTGCTTATTACAGAAAATTTTAAAAATACTAAAATCTTACTATTTAAACACAACCATCTGGTATATTTTTTTACATCTTCTTTAACATGCTCTCTCTCTCTGCACACACACACGTAATCATACTACGATTATGTAAGGGGATGTCCATGTCTGCCCTAGCCAGAAGGAGTTGTTGCTAATCTGATGATCTAACAGTTGGATTCCAGAACTAATGTAACCACATTAATTAGTGGAGAGATGACTGTGTAAGGAATCAGTTGGCTGAGTCAGGAGGGAATTGAGCTGTCTGCTGTTGCTCTCTTCTCTCTGTCACTCTATCTCCCTCCTCTCCTTCCCACAGGGCTCTCGGACACCTGGGAGATACCATTCTGCAGGCTCCATGGCATTGAGTAGTAAGACTGGGACTTGGGGAGGAGAAGCCTGGGTTAGGCCTTGAGGCTTTCTAACCCAGCTGTACAGAGGGCTACACTGGGGGTGATGGCTACAAGGCCAATAAGTAAGTGGTACTTTGAATTCTTATTTGTCACCATCACCACCCTTGGATATATAGTTCCCTTGGGCAACTCACAGGATACGTGTGATCAACCCAACACAGGATCTGAGCATTTCTAGGTCCCATGGCCAAAATACCATCCATCTAATGCCACCAACACATCACCCTGATTCTTCTCTGTGGTGGACTTGATGAAGGTTGACCGTCTGACTTCCAGAGGCCCTCCCAACCCTCAGATTCTGTGAGCCAACTGGACACAGCTGGTGCTGTCTATGGTTTTTTCATAAAGGTTATGTTGACATTTGTAGTGAAGTTCATTGTTTGCTGCCCGGGGTTATATGACCACCGAAGCTACTTTAAAACAATGGACAGTCCTTTGGGCTCCTCACTCTCTGCAGGATCTCTATGAGCTAGTGATTCCAGGAGTAATAACTGGATGCTGGAAATACAACCACTGTAATCGGCTACAGCCATGACTGAGAAGTACCTGCCCTTAATACTGTGAGCACAGTGACGAAGTTAACGGCAGGGATGCGGGAGCCACACTGCCAGCGTTCAAGTCTTACTCTTCCATGTACAAGACACCTATTATCAGATTACATACTCTCTGCGCCTCAGCTGCTTCATCTGTAAAGTGGGGAACAATGGGAAAGCCTACAGGATAGGGTTGCTATGAGGCTTTAATGAGTTAATATGCACAAAGTATTTAGATCATGGTAAGCACTCAGTCCATTTTAGCTATTATTATAGCCTCATGGCATTAAAAAGAATTTTTTCACATTCCTTACAGAGAAAGAGATTAAACATTGTACCCAAGACACCTAGCTAACAAGAGTCAGAGCTGAGATTCCAGCTCCCACCTCTGAGCTCCCTGCCCACCTTCCCTACACTGTGAAATATAATAGTTTATCTTGGCACAGACTCAGTTACTGAGGAATCAGACAAATGTGTTTGAAAATCCTGTTAGTGACCTGCCTGAGTCCACACTCAGTGGTTACTCTCCAAAACAAAAGTGCAGGATTGTTCTGCAAAATGAGCTAGTTGCCTGACCAAGGTCAATGATACATGTTTAGACATGATGAAGACCTGTTTACCCTAGGAGGGTAATTACCTATTATGAAATCTTATGTTTGGAAAGAAACATAAAGAGAAACTATCTAGGGCCGGCCCCGTGGCTTGGTGGTTAAGTGAGCGCGCTCCACTGCTGGCGACCCGGGTTCGGATCCCGGGCTCGCACCGACGTGCTGCTTCTCTGGCCATGCTGAGGCCGCGTCCCACATACAGCAACTAGAAGGATGTGCAGCTATGACACACAACTATCTACTGGGGCTTTGGGGGAAAAAAATAAATAAATAAAATCTTTAAAAAAAAAAAAAAAAAAAAAAGAGAAACTATCTATCATTCTGCTTTATTTACTTGTAACAAACATATGTATGTCCCTTAAGACAACAAGAGAAGCAAAGTCATAGAAGTGAACACAGTTGCGTTTTGAAAAAGAGCCCTAAATGAGAGATCAGGAGAACCAAGTCCCGTTTCCAGCCATCCAAGAAGGATGTCTCCATGTGAGTGAGTGTCTGTGTGTATCTGTGGTATGCGTGCATAAGTGTATCTGAGTGAGCATGTGTATGTACGTGTGTGGGTGAGTGTGTGCACATAGAAAAATTCAGGAAAGAAATGTACAAAACTGTTTTCAAGGCTTACTTCTAAAAAGTGGAATATATGTTGAGAGACAGGAGACTGTAAATTGTACTAAATGGAGAATTACCAAAAGACTTCATAATTTTCAGATAAATAGAAACTGAAAGAATTTGTTGCAAACAGACTTGCAGAATAAGAAAGGCTAAGGGAAGTTTTTCAGCCTGAAGAGAAATGACACAACATGGTAATTCGGATCTACAATAAAGAATAAAGAACACCAGAAATGGTGAGTAGGAGGGTAAATATAAAAGAATATATATATATTTTTCTTACTTTCTCTTAATTCTTTAAAAGATATATGATTGTTTAAATCAAAAATTATAACACAATATTGGGGGATTTAACATATGTAGATGGAATATTTATGATAAGAATAGCACATAGGATGGGCGGGGGGCATATGAAACTATGCTGTTGCAAATTTCCTATATTTTACACAAAGTGCTACAATATTAACTCAAAGTAGATTGTGATAAATTAAGGATGCATATGATAATCCCTAGGAGAGACATCTGGTGAAAAATAATGCAAAGAGGTATGTATGCTAAAAGGCCAATAGAGGAATTGAAATAAAATACAGTCATGTGTCGCTTAGCTATGGGGATACGTTTTGAAAAATGCGTCGTTAGGCAATTTCATCATTGTGCAAATATCACAGTGTACTTAAATCAAGAACAAGAGAAAATGATGTAATCAAGAGATACACTAAACATGAGATGTTATGCTGCTAGCATAACACGGCATAGTGTTTTACAATCAACTTTCGTTTTTATAAATAGAAAGAGTACACTCTAAAATAACCATGAGGGGCCGGCCCCGTGGCTTAGCGGTTAAGTGTGCATGCTCTGCTACTGGCAGCCC